GCTTAAGGATGAGTTTCGGCTGGACCCTTCGGCCAACTTGGCGACGCGCGGGCAGGTTGCTTCTTTCATTGCATCATGGAACGCGGCCAAGGTCCGCGTGCAGCGGCAGGCCGAGGTCGAAGCAGAACAGGACACACGTGAATGGATCAAGCCGATCCCTACTTCGGAGTACCTGCTGCTCCGCCAGGCATATGTCAAGACCTACGGGAACATGGACGAGCGAGTCCTTCCTTCTAAGGAATATCTGGAGAAGAAGCTGCTGGAAGTGGAACATGGGGAGTTCAAGTCTGAATCACTTCAGGAGGTCACGACTCGTGACGAGCACGACCCCGACACCCTGACACCTGTCTGGGACTCAAAAGGGGTCATGACTGTGAAGCGTGGGAGCTCCCGGGTTCCACTTCCATCAAATCCAGAGGAGCTCCGTCGGCGCCTGAACATCATGCGCAACGCATACTTGATGCTGCGGTTAAAGTTCCCGGGCCGGCGCGACCTCCAGGACCTGACGATCGATCTCTTCGAACGATATAAAGAATATCTGCTGGGCGATTATGTCCACAACCTTCAGGCTAAGGACGCCGCAGATGCAGTCGTGCACACGCCGCCGTGGCAGCTGGTTTTGGCCTACGAACAAGCCATAAGGAAACAAGCATTCCACTATATGGTCATCGATAGCATGGCAATCGCAGCTGCATGGGAACGGGCATGGAAGGATCCGGTGACAAAGGAGCGGCATTTTTCGACTCCTCTGGCTCTCTACGCGAAGCGTCGTCCGGATGCACCTATGCCACCTCGGGAAACCTGGATCCCTCGGACTCCGGGCAAAGGCAAGGGCAAGAAGGGGAAAAAGGGCGATGGGCGTGGCACTGGCCGCACTTTCAAGGGGCATGCCTGAGCGAGCCGATCTGCTTCAGATTCAACACGGAGGAGGTGCACTCTGACCAGTTGCAAGTTCAAGCATGTGTGCAGCCATTGTTTCGACTCCAATCAGAACTTCGTGGGATGCAAGCGCAAGCCGGCCGCCAATGCGGCTGGCAAGAACTGACTCGGCACAGATGGGGGCGCCCCGTTTCACGGCGAGCTTCGCATTCTTTACCTGTTCTCAGGGCGACCGCGAAAGGGGTCACTGGAAGCTTGGCTTGCAAGATTAGCACCTAGTTATGGCATTCCGCTTAAGGTGGAAGCCGTGGATATTTTGCGTAAACCTTTTGTCGACTTGTCTCAGACACAAACCCAACAAATTTTCCTTCAGAAAGTTCGGGACGCAGCTTATTTTGCCATCGTCTTGAGCCCACCGTGCTCGACCTTCAGTCGGGCACCCTGGCGCAACAAAAGGGGACCACGCCCTCTCCGGTCCTATGCACATCCAGATGGACTGCCTCATCTACGCTGAGCAGTGGAAGGACAAAGGTCATTTACTACGGGAAGCTACATGCGACGGGAAGGCGGGGCTCCGCCGGAACCTGCAGGAATTCCGTTGGAGCAGTGAGTTGCTGGCGAAGGTGATGAGTGCAGCGTTTCCAGGCCGACCCTTTACAGTACTTGCGCTTTTCCGGGACCTCAAACAGCCTACACTGAGACACCTCGAATGGCCCCTGGGACAATTTGCTGCTGCCTTGTTCCACCTTCGAGCGTGGGGGACTCTGGGTGCAGGGCCTGGGACCGACATGAGATTGGTGCACGGCTGGAATGTGGGGGCATCGGTCCGAGAGAGGAAGCATGGGAGAATCACCTTCGATGCGCAGCAATGGCACGCTACAGAGCCGTGGGCCGGGACCAGACTGGTTTTGGCCGGCTTCACCATCGAGGACCGCGAGAAGCTCGCGCAGGCGGACAAGAAGTTCTTCCTTCAGGGCAGACGCTTGGTGAAGCGGAACAGGATGTCGATGGCCGTACCGGGTAGAGATCGGCCTGCGAATGTGCCACGAACCTTGGAGGAGCCGGCCCTTCCACGACGGGGCGGGCCTTTGCTCGCCTGGGCCTGGGATCCCGAGCAGCGCCGATACTGCGCAGCTGAAGACTGGGACACCTTGCGAGGGAGACTCGAGGACGCCTTATTGGAGCATGCGGGTGACGAGCGGAGGCTGGACCGGGCAACCTTTGAAATGGCGACCCGCGGAGAGGCGGGGGGCAAATTGGTCTCGGACCCGGTGCTGCACAAGAAGCTTGTTGCTATCATGGTGTCCCACCTGGCGGCAAAGGGCTGGGAGACCAAGGATCTGGGGGCCATCGATCCGGAACAGCCGTTCCGATTGCGGCTGCTGTAGGGCCTTCTTCGAGACGCTTCAGATCCGGACTCTTCATGGAGGCGATTGAGGGCTTCACCGTGAGGTCAAGCAGGGATCACTTCGAAACGGAAGTGCGGGAGGGCCTGATGATCCGAATGGGTGAGGCCGAATTCTGGGCAACGTATGGGGAGGAGGCAGCGATTTCGGCTATTGCTGCACTTACTGAAGAGGGCCCGCCGCTGAAGCAGTGTATCGTGCATGATGCCTCTCACGACGTCCACAGAATCCGCTGCCTCGACAAGGTGAGATCTGGTGCTAGGGAGAAGAGGTACCTTCTGCGCCGCCTCAAGGAGAAGCGCATGGCCCCGATGGCGGTGACCAGCGACATCGCGAAGGCGCATAGGAGATATCGGCATCGCCGGGATGAGTGGGGATACTTGGGCTGCAAAGCCTCCTTCCGGGACACCATCGTCTACTTGAACTGCGTAGGCACATTCGGCCTGGCTTGCGCGGGTTACTGGTGGGCGAGACTCTCTGGGGGTTCAATCAGGCTCATCCATCACTTGACTGGGAGACGGGCTTTGGAGATCCTCTTGTACGCCGATGATGTCGAGATGATCGGGGGAGACAAAGCCGGGAGGAGAGGCATCGTCCTCTCGTATGCCTTCTTGGCGGCACTAGGCTTTCCCTTCAAGTGGTCGAAAACAAAAGGTCCAATGGGTGGGCTACGAGACATCTTACAGCTCTTTCAGGCTGGGAATCTCCCTGCAACGAGCTACCTGGCTCGCGGATTGGACGGCGCGCATCTCTCGAGAAGGCAGCGTGACTTGGGACGATTTCGCATGTGGCTTGGGCAGGCTGGGATTTGGAGCAAACGCTCTCTCTTGGGAGAGACCGTTCCTCGGTCCTCTTTACTCTTGGTCGGCAGCCACGCGTGGATGCAGAGGGGCTTTAAAGATCCCAGTCATGCTGAGGACGATTCTCCACTGGATCTCGGATCGGTTCCGGGGCGAAGACCGGCTCCAGGAGCCGCCTCCAGAGCGGCCGCGAAAGGGGATGAACAAGTTCAGCTTCTACTCGGATGCCAAGGCCGAAGCAGACCGTGCATGGGTCGGAGGATATCTATGGGACGGGGAGTCAGCGCAGCAGTGGTTCGCTTTGGAAATCCTGGAATCATGGGCACCGTGGGCCTATATCAAGGGGGACTTGAAGCGGACCATTGCGAGCCTGGAACTCCTGGGCACTCTCATCTGCGTCAAGCTGTGGGGCACCAAGATGAGGGACAGCGGTGGAGGCAGTGGCCACATCACCGGTGGCACGGACAATCAGGGGAACTCGTATGCAGTTTCGAAACTGATGTCGACACGGTACCCCTTGCCTCTGCTGCTGATTGAGCTTTCGGAGACGCTGCGGGGGATGAACCTCTCTCTTGATCTTTCTTGGGTTCCTAGGGAATCCAATGTGTGGGCGGACGATCTTACCAACCTTCGCTTTGAACGATTTGATCCCTCAAAGAGGCTGGAGATCCTGGGCGACCAGATTGATTGGATCATTCTGGGAGACCTCTTGAAGTCGGCAAATGGGTTTCACAATGAGCTTGTCGTGGCGAAGGCTGCGACACGGGAGAAGAGGCATCAGGTGGCGAAGGCCACCAGTCGAAAGAAGCCTCGCACGAGGTGGTGAGTTTTCGGATTCATTCGGCTACGGCGGTGCTCGGGTGCTTAGCACATCCTTACTCTCGGGAGGACCGTCTTTCGCCCAAGGCGCTACGGTCAGATGTGCTCTACGCCGAATTGGGAATTCCGATCCATCCTTCGGGAAAAATGAGAGGGGTCCGATTGCACATGTCAACAGTCTGCATGCACATGTTACAGTTCTGATGCTGCTGCAGTCCTTTTTCATACGAATATATTGGATTCCGGATTTTATATATATCTCGAATCCTCGATGAAATCTTTACAGGGGCTTTCACTCCTGCCACAGTCCACTGGGTGGTGGAAAGGGGTGGTTGGTGGGTGGTGGGTTTGACTTGCACGCACGCGCTCGCGACTTGTTGCGTCAGTGTGTGTGCCCTTCAAACCCACGTGCTTTCGGTACACTGCGTGTACCGTCGTCTCGGATAAAAGAAAACAGGATTTTCTTTTACCAGAGTTTTTGAAGTTTTACGTTTGCGATTTTGCAACCAGTTCATGGATGTCTGCCAACATGAGAATCATGTTTTGTACCACTGTAGCCACAAGGGTCAAGTGGTGAGTTCTGAAGCTCCCACCCTCCCAACCCTGGTGCTTAGCACATCCTTACTCTCGGGAGGACCGTCTTTCGCCCAAGGCGCTACGGTCAGATGTGCTCTACGCCGAATTGGGAATTCCGATCCATCCTTCGGGAAAAATGAGAGGGGTCCGATTGCACATGTCAACAGTCTGCATGCACATGCTACAGTTCTGATGCTGCTGCAGTCCTTTTTCATACGAATATATTGGATTCCGGATTTTACATATATCTCGAATCCTCGATGAAATCTTTACAGGGGCTTTCACTCCTGCCACGCTTTACTGGGCTTGCCCAGTTGAACTGTTGAAACCTTCGAATTTTGGGCGGCCGGGCGGGAAAAGATATTTTCAGTTTTGAGTTTTTCCAAGTTTCCGTTTTCAGCTCACTGTCTCTCAGTATGACTCAGATCCTTTCAGTTCTCAGTGAGAATCCGTCTTTCCGATATGTTTAGGCTCAGTTTTAGTTTTTGGTAGTGTGGGGCAAAGGCTCCTTCGGACGTAGATGTCATGGCCAGAGCTGCAAGGGCAGGAGCTTGCACTCCTTAAAGGGGCATTCGCGAACCCCAGGCAATTGCAGGCAGCTTTCGATAGTCGTGAGGAGGCGGCTGAACTAATCGAAGTGTTCTTGCCAGGCATCAACCGAGATGGGAAATATCAGAGAGCAGACGTTCTTGTGGCATGGGCACAGGAAAATGAATCAGTGATGAAGCGACAGCGAAGAGAGTCGTTGCAGGGCATGTGGGAGGTATTACCCCAGCAGCGTGTGGTGCCGAAGCTGACGGACACCTTCGATGAGCTGGCAAGGAGCAACCCGCTTGTCCTGCTACCGGCACTGCAGCGGAAGAGGCGCTTGCTTAGAGAAAATACCGACGCTACACAGCGAGCAAAGGAGGAGCAGCTGGCGAAGAAGAAGTATGCCTTACAACTGGCTGAGATACTTAAGCAGGCGAAGTTGCCATTGGTGCAACAGCTGGAGGGAGTGGACCGGCCCGAAGAAGTTTGGCCGCGGATATTTGGAACCCGCAGGAGCAAGACGCTGCGAAACCGCTTAAAGGCCTGGGAACCCTTCAGGACATGGCTGCAGTGTGTCCATGAAGTGCAGTGGCCAACTAGCGTGCGGCAGCTGATTGATTATAGCAATGAGAAATATCAAAGCGAGTGTGGCAAGACAGTGCTGAACAGTTTCCAGGCGTCGCTGGCCGTCCTGGAGCAAGTGGGAAAGGTCGCAGAGACACAGCGGCTGTCGAGTGATACAACTTGGATGGCACACTTGAAGTCGTTAACGGCAGACTTGGTGGGTGCGCAAGCACCTGTACAGCAAGCACCCATGATGACGGTGGCGATGATCATATCACTTGAACTGCACATTGCAAGAGAGGATGAACCAGAGTATGTACGGGCAATGGCATTCGTGGCGCTGCTGGCTGTGTATGGTTCAATGCGAATGGACGACTTGCAAGGGATGCTGCCGGCCACCATGCGGCTTACAGCACAGGGCTTCAAGGCCACTCTGGGACGCACCAAGACGACGGGCGCAGACCGTCGCAACAAGGAGGTCTCGGTCTTCATACACAGGCAGGCAGGATTGTCCGGGTTTGATTGGCTGGGTGAGGGCTTTGCGCTTTGGAAGAAGTATACTCAGCCGAGAGACTTCCTTGTCATGATTGCCAGGGACGATTGGAAAGGGCCAACTAAGCACTTTGCTAAGAGCGAGGTAGTTGCAGGCTATGTGCGTGAGGTCTTCAAGAGGCTAGCAACGCCGAAGTTTGAGGATGGGGCCTATCGCCTCAACTTGCAGAGGTACCTCTTGGTGGAAGGGGCCCAAGGCTTCTTCACGGGGCATAGCCCACGCAATTGGCTTACTTCAGCAGCCGCGGTGTTGGGATGGTCTAAGGATCAGAGGGATTTCTTGGGTCGTTGGATGATCGGTGGTTCGGGTTCTGCCGACTACACGCGCACTGCAAGGGAGGTTGTGCATCGCATACAGATTGGAGTCTGCGAAGCAATTGTCACCGGCAAGGGTGGCGAGTATCAAGAGAGTGAAGCCCTCGAAGAGCTAAAAGCCTTTGTGGACGAACGTGGAGGTTCAGGTGCATTGGCAAGGCGGCGGCATGATCTACTTAGGACTGTGGAAGGCGTACGCTGCTTGGGCAACAAGTGGCCTGCCATTGAACAGGACGATGCAGATGCCAGCGAAGAGGAGAAGGCACCGGAAGCGATGAACGTTGAGGGTAGTGCCACAAAGTACTTCATTAGCATCAGTCGTAAGACGGGCCATCGCAGGCTGCACTTGAATGGGCCGTGCCATGTTAAGCCACATCATTGCAATAGGGTCGAGTTTGTCGAGCGTGTCGCATTGGATCAGATCGACAGCATTTGTCGTGATTGCAAGCATCGTATGAGGGAAGATCAAGGTGCCGAGGACGATCAGGACACAAGTAGCGAGAGTGGGTCCACAAGTGACTCGAGCAGCGAAGAGGGGTGAGAGTACGTTCGAAGCTTGGCGACAAATTGTGTGTTGCGGTAGGAATGTGCTGTGTTCGAGGTGCGGCATGTACATGGCTGTTTGCATGGGTAGGTGCTCGCGTGAGGGAGTTTGGCTAAGGCAGCTTCGCAGGACCGTCGGCATGTTCGTGATTGTGAGTGATCCACGATTTTCAGTGTAAGTCACGAGTGCATGCAATTCTACACTTACGGAGTTAGGAGCTGTGTGATTTTCAGTTGCCATGGGCCACCGCTGAGAGTGCGGTTTCAGTTGCACAGCACGGTGCTGTTTCAGATAGCATGGCGTTGCCCAGTGAGGCGGATCAGAGAGCAGAAGTGGCAAAGATGGATTCCGACTTGCAGTATGTGCTTCAGGAAGCCAGTGCGTCACTGGCCACGCAATATCAGGTTGCGCGGCTCCATCAGAGTCGTAGGCGATTCCAGGCGATCGCCGATAACCGCGAAGGTGCCCGGACAGCTGCACGTGATTTCGGGATTAATCCTGATACACCGGCGGGCCGTGTTGAGGTGGCAGCTATAGTAGCTGCGTGGGAACTTGCCATGGAGTATGCCAGTAAAGAAATCGAGCTACGTGCAGAGGCGAAAGTTCTAGGCCATAAGAGAATCTTGCAAGTGCAGGAACGCCAAGCTATGTTGAAGGCAGTGACGGATGCATACGGGAAGATGAATGAAAGCGAGACGCCAAGTGCAGAGTACTTGGCAACAAAGGCCGAGGAGTGCGAGAGCAATGAGCCTCTCGCAAGTTCGCTTGATCGCATCTCTTCAAAGAAGGATTCGCAGGTGGAGAGCCTCCAGACTAGCATTGATCCCACCGGGCATGTTCGGGTGACAAAGACTATGCAGAAGTTGGAAATGCCACATCACTCAGAGGGCTATAGACGCTTGATGAAGGTCGAGGCACATGCATGGCTCTGCATGAGTGCACGGTTTAAGGCAAAGGCTTGGTTGCAAGGGCTTCAGCTTGATGATTTCACTAAGTTTGTTGAGTACATCTTGGGAGATCGTGTTGGCAACTTAAAGTTGCCCACTGCTTCAGGGCAAGAGACGCAGTTCAACAGGCCTCCATGGAACATCGTCTTGAGTTATGAATATAAGTTGAGGGTTGAAGCTTTCAAGATGATCCTGGAGGGAACCGCCACCATGGCAGAGGCACTTCGGGCAGTGCGTGAGGATCCATCGCTGAAAGAGGCTTACTTTACAACACCTCTGGCATTGCACACAGCTGGTACGCCTAGCAAGTTTCGGAAGGGCAACAGCAAAGGAAAGGATAAGATGCAAGGGCAAGAGATTCCACCGCCGCCGGCGCCGCATCAGAACGGTCGTGGAGCAGGGAAAGGCAAAGGCAAGAAAGGCAAGGGCCAGGTTGTCTTGTCAAATGGGAAACAGCTTGCACTTGTGTCAGCGACTCCTGACGGCCGTCAGTTGTGTTATGCATACAACCACCAGGGCTGTACTGATCCGAAGTGCGCACGTGTGCGTGCGTGTCGTGTTGCAGGGTGTTTCGGCGAGCACCCAGCCTCGCAGCACGAAGCCGCGACAGCGGGTAAGTGACAGAGTTGCGCTCAGCAGGGGGCGCATGGGCACCAGCTGCCGCCGTTGCTGTCAGGCCAACCTGTGGCATCAAGGGTGGTTCATGTCTTTGCAGATCCTGCTGAGCGCTTTGATTGGGCACCGCATCTCAGCAATAGCATGTCGCAGCCAGAATTCGTCGCTTTTGGATTTGATGCAAACAACCTGTTTTGTGGTGATGCTTGGGATCAGTTGTTTGAGCTTGTGAAACAACCGAAAACCGTGATCTTGATTTCGCCACCTTATGATACTTTTAGTCGGGCGAGGCATAAGCAACCTGGGCCCCCGCCACTCCGCAGTGACAAGTGGCCCAGAGGTTTTCCATGGCTTAAGGATTCGTCTATGCAGAAGGTGACTTCTGCCAATCATTTTATCGACCAGTGTTTGAAAGCAACAGTTTTCGCGGCCGAGGCTGGCAATTTCTTCATGTGGGAAGCGCCGGAACACTTCGGCCGCACCGCTGACGGCATTGTGCCGAGCTCCATTTGGGTTTGGCCTGAATTACTTGACTGCATTCCGCGTTTTGCGGCCACAACCTTTGTGCATTACTTATGCGAGTTCGGGGCGGACTGGGCCAAACCAACACGTTACTTGAGCAATTTGCCTTTCTTCCGTCACTCCCCACGGCCCTTGACGGGGTTGCCGGTGCTGGATGCGGATCACCGCTACGTTGGGCCGCTGCCCGCGTCGTGCCCACATGGGGGTCATGCGATTAGCACCGGCAAATCACCGACTACGCAACAGTGGAACTTGCCGCGGGCCCGCGGCTGGCCCCCTCAGTTGTGTCAATTCATAGTAGCAGCCATCGACTTCTCGCTGCAAGCAGATGGGGAATGCAAATCCTCTAAGTCGAAGGTTCCTGACAAGGCAATTAAGGTCCCCGATGTGCTAGGTGGGCACGCTAAGGTTCCTCCCGTGCCCGTCGTTTCAGGTTCTGACCCATCCTCGCCTTCAGGTTGCAGTGCCGCGGCTGCTCCTTCTTCCCAGTCAGGTTGTAGGTCCCCTAAGGCCACGGCGGTTCACCCTTCCCGTTCGGGTTTTAGTTCCTCTTCGCTTCCTTTGAAGTCCACCTGCGATCCCGAGAGTGCCGCATCACAACTGCTGGCGGCGCCCGGTCCGCTAGAACGTCGCCGTGTGTTAGAGTTATTTGACATGCTTCCCCGCGAGGAGCCGCCCAGGGAATCGACTTCACCTGCACCGGGCAGGGCTTTCGCAACGGGCGCTTACTGTAAGGGTGGCTTAGTCGGTTTGAGGCATCATTCAACTGCGATGCCTATGTCGACGCGGGTTCTAACGAAGTACTTGCAGCAGGTTGCACCTGGCTTTCAAGCATCCGCTATCGCGATCTTCGATGATGTCAGGACGGGTGTCCACCGTGATGCTCGGAATGCACACTATCCGAACATGGTAGTGCCGTTATCCGACTTTGAAGGTGGCCAGATCTGGCTGGAACAGCAAGGAGGCGACGTTTGGGAGACAACGCCAGAAGGGCAGAGACCTGGTGTCCTCTTGGAGGTTTGTAAGGGTCCTGTAAGCTTCGATGCCTGGTGGTCGTACCACGCTACGCGGGCGTGGAAGGGCCGTCGGGTGGTGATGGTGGCATACATGACCGACAAGCTTGGCAATGTTGAGGCTTCCGACTTAGTTCACCTTAAGGCATTGGGCTTTGAGTTACCACTTGACTTGGACGCATCGAATGGGGAGTCTTCCGAAGCTCTGGGTACCGCCGAGGGCCCAAGCGCACGAGACACAGCACCACCCGTGCCGTTCAGACCAGAGGCGTGCGGGAACCGAGGCAACCCCATTCGCGTTGAGTGGGAAGGTCAGGAGGCTGACATGACAGACGGGTTCGGGTTGTGTTCCCCATCGCGATGGAGGCCGATGGATCGGGGGCATCGCCTGGGCCCAGCGGCTACTGCACATGCACAATCCATGTACCGGATGCTTACGAGCTTCATCGCCGAGCATGTACCTGATCCCCGGCGCTTCTGCTTGAGCCTACTTTCAGGAAAGATCGAATCCTCTCCATTCGCTGGGGAGAAGTTGGAAGCCCTGCGGAAACAGTGGGCCAAGGTGCTGGGTGCAGAAGACAATCCCGACGTGCTTGAGATCCCGGATGCGCAGCCCTTCTTGCTCAGGGCCTTGTCACTTTCGGCCGAAAGACTTGAGGATCCAGACTGGGAGATTTTAACGGAGGGAGTTGACTGTTTCTGTACCGGGGTCCCCTTAGGTCTTAATTGCGACATACCACACTTGCCGCAGGTGTATGAAAGGAAGTGCCAGTGGCGTAAACTTGATGAGTCAGAGTTGGAATTTGACCGGGAAAATTATAAGAGTGCCGAGTTGAGCTCCGCCGGGCTCCTCGAAAAGTTTCGTGCAGAAGAAAAACTTGGACGGATGAAACCGACAACGCTCGGAGCCTTGCGCGAGGAGTACAGTGATGACATGATCCGCGTGGCCTCAATGGGGGCAATCCTCAAACCCGATGGCAGTGTGCGGCCATTACATGATGGAACGCACGGTGTCAATGTCAACAACCAGATACGCTTGGTGAATCAGTTAGCAGTTCCAGGTCCGGCAGAAATGTCATTTTCAGTTCGGCAATCAGGTGCTATGCAAGAGATTCCCTTGGCCGCAACCGCGGACGTGAGTGCTGCACACAGGTTGGTCTTGCATCGGAAGAGCTACTGGGCCTTGATGTCATGCAGGGCAGAGCAAGGGTCTGACACGATTTGGATCAATAAGGTAGGAACGTTTGGGCTTAGCCCAGCCTCCTTTTGGTGGAGCAGGTTGTATGGAATCATAGGCAGAGTGGTCACCCGTTGCCTACTGCAGCACGCCTTTTACCACTTCGCTTATGTGGATGATGTGCATCCCACTTTCTACGGGAAGCGGATGTACATCAACTTCTTGGTTTGGCTGATCCTTCAAGAAATGATAGGGGTGCCCTTCGCTTACCATAAGTTTAAGGGGAAAACGCTTGTCGCTTTCATAGGATACGAGCTTGACTATGGCGCCAGACTGGTGGGACTTAGCGAAGCCCGAGGTGCCTGGGTGTGCAACTGGGTCGATGAGGCACGGAAGGCGCGCTTCGTCGTCTCTGTCAGGAAGTTTGCAGAGTTTCTCGGGAGACTTGGGTTCGTGTCTAGGGTTGTGTACTGGATCAAACCACATTTGGCCCCCTTGTATGCTTGGTCAGCTGCAGCTTCGAAGAGCCATGTTGCAAAAATGCCGGACACGGTTATTCTGACTTTGCTCTACTTGGAGGCAACGCTTAAAGACATCAACTTTAAGGTCGCACCGGGTCGACAACAGGAAGAGAAAGGGCATCTCTTTCACACGGACGCGAAATGCGATGATGGTTATGTTGTCCTAGGAGGTTGGGACTCTAGCCAGGACCTTTCGGTCGCG